GCATTTCTTTGGGAATACTCTGCTCTTCGGTCTCCCGGGCGTCCGAGACCGCCCAGAAACCCGAAAATCGACCAACGTTATCCGAAAGGGCTTCCAGGCATTCCAAGAGAACCCCACGACTGCACAACCGGGTCCCAAGATGGCCCGAAGAGAACCCCATGGCGGACCAAGATGGCCCCAAGACGCACCCCGAATCATTCCAAATCGTGACCAGCTCGTTCAGGGAGACCGCGGTTAGAAGGTATGTAGCTTGTGCGGGGTCTGCCCGAAGAAGCCCCCCGAGGCCCCCTAGAAGGCGCCCAGGAGGCCTCCAGAAGGCCCCAAGAAGCCCTTACAAACTTTCGTGAGGCCCCCAAGAGGCCCTCCAAGGAGGAGCCTCCGCAAAAAGAGCTGAGGAGGATGGGGAAGAATTCGCAGGTTATGACGAGAATGAGGAAGAGGAAACATGAAGGAAGGATTCTGAAACACATTCTCACAACAACAACCATTTCGGACAAGGCACCAAGGAGTTGTCACTAAGGTGACTGCTTTACCTTCCTGCCCCTCCGCCTGCACGCCAAACTTCAAGGACCAAGGTGCATGTCGCGAAGTGCGCCAAAGTAGTCTTGTGTATCCATGTCTCTCTCTCTCTCTCTCTGTCTCTGTCTCTCTCTCTCTCTCTCTCTATAAATATATAAACGCCCCCTCCGGCCCCGGGTCCCACACCTCCCCGCGACATCTCGGGGACGCTCCCGGTACCGCTCCCCCGGCCTTTCCGGGGAGCCTCCACAGCGCCCCAGGAGGGCCAAGACGCCTCCCAGGAGCCCCCAGAATGCGAAAGGATGGTCCAAGACGCTACCAAGCAGCCCAAGTCAGCCTTCCGACGGCTCTCGAGGCTCCCAGGTGACCTCCAAGAGACCCCAAGAGAGGTCCGAGAGGCGTCCCAGGACGGCCCGAAGAGGCCAACATCGTCGATGTTCGCTGTTTTTGAATGTTGTTGGCTTCTCGCGTTTTCGAGCTTCCAATGGTCCAAGAGCGCCGAAGAGGCTCCCAAGACCGCCCCAAGACCACCCAAGAGAGCCTCAGGACGGCCCCAAGACGGGCCAAGAAGGCTCCAAGACTGCCGAAGAGGCCCAGGACAGCCCCAGACCACCCCAGAACATGCCCAAGATGGGCCCAAGAGCGGGAGCAGGAGGCTTCCAGAGACCTCCGAGAGGCCTCCGGGACCCCCAGAGGCCTTTAACACACACAATCCCGATCCCTGAGTGGCCCCAAAAAGACCCCGACGAGGCTCCAAGAACAGCCCAAGAGAGCTGCGAGAGCCGTCCCGAGAGAGCCCAAAGAGGGTCATCTCGTTGATTTCCAATGTTTTTTACTTAACAGCTTGTTCTGATAGGTTTCTAGTAGGGTCAAAAGAGAGCAGCAGATGACTCCACAGGGGGGTCTGGGCGGGTGCCGGACAGGGTGCCGCAGAAGTCGTTTTAAGCCAACAGTCACACACTTCGTGCTCTTCGACCTCCCAGAACTCCATTCCGGGCCACATTCTGAATGCCCGGAGCCAACTGTAGGCCACTTCGTGGTCTTCGACTTCCCAGAACTCCATTCCCGGGCCACATTTTGAATGCCCGGAGCCAACTGTAGGCCACTATCGTGGTCTTCGAGCCCCCAGAACTCCATTCCCGGGCTACATTTGAATGCCCGGAGCCAATTGTAGGCCACTTCGTGCTCTTCGAGTTCCCAGAATTCCATTCCCGGGCCACATTTTGGATGCCCGGAGCCAACTGTAGGCCACTTCGTGGTCTTCGAGTTCCCAGAACTCCATTCCCGGGCCACATTTTGGATGCCCGGAGCCAACTGTAGGCCACTTCGTGCTCTTCGAGTTCCCAGAACTCCATTCCCGGGCCACATTTTGGATGCCCGGAGCCAACTGTAGGCCACTTCGTGGTCTTCGAGTTCCCAGAACTCCATTCCCGGGCCACATTTGAATGCTGAGGCAGGCTGAGGCTGAGGCTGAGGCAGGCTGATGCTGAGGCAGGCTGAGGCTGGGGCTGAGGCTGATGCAGGCTGAGGCTGAGGCAGGCTGAGGCTGAGGCCGAGGCTGAAGGCAGACTGAGGCTGAGGCTGAAGCAGGCTGAGGCTGAGGCTGAGGCAGGCTGAGGCTGAGGCAGGCTGAGGCTGAGGCTGAGGCAGGCTGAGGCTGAGGCTGTGACTGCGACTGCCGTTGCCACTGCGACTGTCATCGCGAATGCGACTACGACTGCGAGAACAGCACAATTCTACAACTGGATTCTCATCTGAATCTTAAGGGGAATGCTTCCAGATATGCTCCTACACATCGCTGTTAGGTTGCTTTGCCGGATAATAGAGTCAAAAGAGAGCAGCAGATGACTCCACAGGGGGGTCTGGGCGGGTGCCGGACAGGGTGCCGCAGAAGTCGTTTTAAGCAAACAGTCACACACTTCGTGCTCTTCGACCTCCCAGAACTCCATTCCCGGGCCACATTCTGAATGCCCGGAGCCAA